ATTTTTGGGATATGTTCAAAAGAACTCAAGAGGAACTATATTTTAGGAGGACCTAAAAGGGGCTATAAACGCGGATTTTTTAGATATATTTTAAAGGGACTTAAAATAGACTATAACCCTAATTTTTTAATATTTTAAAATTTATTTATTTATTTTAATAACAATTTTGAAAGGACTCACAAGGGACCTATAAACGAGGATTTTTCAGACATTTTTAAAAATACTTGAAATGGGCTATACCCCGGATTTAGGAGGATCCATAGGAGTCAAAAACGTGTTTTTTCTCAAAAAAAAATTAAGAGGACTTTAAAAAGGCCACAACCTGGGTTTTAAAAAAAAAGCAAAAGGGCTACATATTGGATTTGTTTTTAAATATTTTTAGGAGGACTCCCAAGGGTTTTAATATGGACATAAAATGGATTAAAACCAACACTTTTAATATTTAAAAATATATTTCAATAAATATTTTAAAATGACTCAACACCGACTTTTTTCAATATTTTAGAAGGTCATATGAACGAGAATTTTTTTAGATATTTTACAAAACTTAGAATGGGCTGGATTTAGAAGGTCCTTAAGGTTTTTAAAACGTGGATTTTTATTTTTTTATTTTAGGAACACTTTAAAGAAAGAGAGAACTTGAACTTATAAAGGGCTATATTCTGGATTTTTTAATATTTTTAGGAGGACCTCCAAGAGTCTTAAAATGGACTTAAAATGGACTATAACTTGCATTTATTTATTAATTTTAACTTTTTTAATACTTATTTGTATTAATGAATATTTTAGAAGTACTCAACGCGGATTTTTTTAAAATATTTTAGAAGGACCTGTAAACGAGGATATTTTTAAAATACTTAAAATACTTAAACTTGATTTGGGAATACAAAAAAGGCCTAAAACGATTTTCAAAATATTCTTAGGAAGACTTTAAAGGGGCCAGAACCTGGATTTATTTTTAAATTATACAAAAGGGGCAATATCTTGGATATTTTTATATTTTTAGAAAGACCTCTAAGGGGCTATAAACTTGGATTTTTAAATATTTTTAAAAGGACTCAAGAGGGGCTTTATCTTGAAATTTTTTAAATATTAGTAAGAGGCTATAACTTGGATTTTTTTATTTTTAAAAGGTTTCACAGAGGAAAAAAATTGGGAGGATTAATATATTATTTAAGGGATTCATAAAAGATTATGCGTAGATTTTTTTAGTATTTTGAAGGACTTAGAAGGCATTATAACGTAGATTTTTTTAATATTTTAGGAAGACCTATAACAGGCTTTAAATATATTTTTTTAAATATCTTTTAATAGACTCAAGAGATTTTCTTTTAATATTTTCAAAATCAATCGTAAGGAAATATAAATATGGAATTTTTAAATATATTGTTTAAAAAGATTCACTTAGAAAATCAATTCTATATCTCAATCCCCGATACCAACAGAGATCACAATATCAAATTTCGGGTTTCCAACCCTATGCCTTCACCTAATATCAAATTTAGCACCATTTAGTACTTTTCGTGCATTTATAGTACATATTTCCAGAACCACCTCTTGATCATAAACCTACTACCAACAGGTACCCAAATACAAAATCTCAAAATTACAGCTTCATCCATTCACCTTTAACCAAACTGTCCCAAATTAAGTACCATTTAGTACGTACACTTGCTACATATATCCAAATCCACCTTTATATATCAAACTTTCTTTTCAACCTTAATTCTGATACAGAAATTCCAAGTTTTAAGCTTTCCCCGTTTATATTTTAGAACATTTCCCAAATTTTAGATTAGAATTTCCAATAACCCTTTGGTACAACTATCCTGCACTCCATCAGTGACTCTCATTCAAAATTTCTGAATGATGAACCGATGAACATCACAGTTTCAAAGTGTACCAAATTTAGTGCTATTTAGTACACATAAGTACGAATTTCCAAAGCTTCCTGCATACCCCAATCCAATACTCCCATACTAATCTCAATTCCAAATTTTTATGATTCCACCCCTGTTGGTTCGCCCAAATCCAAATTGTACTTTATTTAGTACATTTTAGTACATATATGTACAAATTTCCAATACTACTTGCATATCCAAATCCTACACTACCTACAGTAATATTATTTACAGGATACCAGCTTTATTGGTTCACTCAAATCCAAATTGTACCATATTTAGTTCAATTTAGTACACTGAAGTACTAATTTTCATAACTACCTACAGCATGTAGTCCAATAGAAATCTTATTTTCAAACTTCCAATTTGTACCAAATTTAATACCATTAAGTACACATAAGTACGAATTTCCAAAGCTTTCAGCTTACACTAAGTGAAATCCTTGATTTGGAATTTGGATTACAATTCCAAATTTTAGGATTCCACCCCTGCTGTTTAGCCGAAAGACAAATTGTACTTTATTTATTACATATAAGTACAAATTTCTTAAACTACATACATATCCCAATCCTACACACCGAAAGTAATATTATCAGGATACCAGCTCTATTGGTTCACCCAAGTTCTAATTGTATCAAATTTAGTAGCATTAAGTACACTTAAGTACATATTTTCATAACTACCTACAGCATGTAGTCCAATAGAAACCTTACTTCGGGATTACAAAAAAATTAAATTGTACCAAATTTAGTACATATTAGTACTAATTTTCCAAATTACTAACTAAACTACTCAGTCCTTGAATGCAATAGTAATCTTATTTTTAAATTTTCCAGAATTCCAGGTTCATTAAAATCAAAATTGTACCAAATTTAGTACCATTTAGTACACGCAAGTACGAGTTACCAAAACTACCTCCTCGGATGCAATAGTAATTTTTTTCTATATTTCAGAATTCCAGCTCTATCGATTCATCCAAATCACAATTGTACCAAATTTATTCCCAATTAGTACTTTTTGTGCACATAAGTACAAGTACAAATTTCGAAAATTTCCTCTGTATCCCAATCATACACTCCACCAGTAATGTTAAATTCAAATTTGAGCATTCCAGCTCTATCCGTTCCTCCAAACTCAAATTGTACCATTTAGTACTTTTCGTATACATGGGTGCACACTTCCAAACCTTGATACGAAATTGTACTAAATGTAGTGCATTTTAGTAATTTTCTTAAAATTATAGACCGAATTTAAAAAAAAAAAAAAAACAGTAAAGAAAGTTTTAAAGTTGGACGGGGCCGACTTTATGATACCCTACACCACTGTGCTAATTTAGTAGAGCTCCGCATAACAATCAAAAGTATTTTATGGGAGAATTCAATCATTCACGCTACGATTATAATTATAATTTAAATTTCAAAGGACTAAATATGCCGAAGCATTTGTATCTTTTAAATTCGGACTTGTATTTCCCATTTGGTGCACAATTAATTTGAAATCTGATAAAAATATATATGAGACCTATATCCATATCGGAACCGATCTCGATAAAATTTGGCAAAAATATGTCTGTGCTGTATTTGATATATTTCCCCAAATATTGTTGTTACAGAGTGCATATTACGGCTGTGGGTAACAAATATGACAAATCGGATGAATAGTATATATGGGAGCTATAGCTAAATCTGAACCGATCTTAACCAAATTTGACACACTAGCTTCTAGACTCAATTTGGTCGTAAGTGCCAAATTTCATCCAATATTAGACATTTGGTGCACAATTAAAGGTAAATCGGACGAAGTTATATATGGGAGCTATCCAAATCTGACCCGATCTCGATGAAATTTAGCAAATGTATTTCTGAGCTGTGATATATTTCCCCAAATATTGTTGTTACAGAGTGCATATTACGGCTGCGGAGGACAAAAATAACAAATCGCATGAACTATATATATGGGAGCTAAAGCTATATCTGAACCGATTTCGATCAAATTTGGCATACTTATTTTCAGGCCTAATTTGGTTGTATGTGCAGAATTCCATACTATTGGGTCTGATATTAAACGTTTGGTGCACAATAAAAGGCAAATCGGACGAAGATATATATGGGAGCTATATCTTATTTTTTAGCGATTATCTCCAATTTCAATAGGGTTCGTTCTTGGGCCAAACAAATGATTTGTGCAAAATTTCATCTGAATAGGGCAATAAATGCGAACTGTACTTTGTTTACAAAAATACATGGACAGACGGACGGACTGATGGACGGACGGATATGCATACATCGACTCAGAATGTGATTCTATGCAGATCATCAAAAGGAACGATGGGTCTATCTCGTTTCCTTTTGCCTGTTACAAACAAATGCACAAAGACATAATACCCTGACCACCTTGTGGTGTAGGGTATAAAAAACTCTTTGGTATATCCATCATATACTGCGTTAGTGACCCTCATTTCAACTTTAAGAGTTCTAGCTCTACTTTTCCTACCTCTATTGCTTAGTACCTTTGAGAACTTTTCGTATACTAGTTTTTCATAAAATTTTAACCAGAATTTCCTATAGAATTTTTTATAGAATTTTTCTAAAGATATAACTTTCGAAATTTTTGTAACAAATTTCTATAGTTTCCGAAAAAATTTCATGAAATTTTCCGATTTCTTTCAAATTTTCCATAGAATTTTTTACAGAATTCGGAACACAACTTTCAATAGAGTTTTCTATAGAAGTTGCTATTTTATCTTCTACTCAATATTTCGAATTTTATGGAAATGTCTCGAAATTGTGAACTACTACTCCCAAACCGAACTCATGTGAGTCGGCAACCCCTTAAGATTGCATGCAGCAAATAATGTGGAAAACTAAACTGCTACTGTCAACATGCAACCATGCATCGCACCACAGACACTTGGTTTGAACTTCATGTTAACTACCAAAGTTGTACCGAATGTGATGACAGTAATGTTCGACTGACACACAATATTCCGCCAATAGCTAAATTTGTCGGCCATATCGCCTGAACGGCAACCATTTACGTTTTTAATGACCAGTGTAATTGTGTGTGTAATACATGTTCCAAGATTCAACATTTACTTACCAGGCATTGGTGGCCAGATTGGCCAAACTTGCAGCAGCAGCAGCGGCTGCTGAATCGGCTACAGAGGTACTTTGTTTACATTTGCTGTGTATGACCAATTGTAGCCAGTTGGGAACCGAGGGCAAAGATGTTGGATCAGGTGTGTACCTAGGAGGAGATAAAACCAAAATTAATCGCACTTTCTTAATAACCCCACCCCTCGAGGACACCCACCTGATAATGGAGTTGCTATGCTTTGCCTTGGGTACTGCAAAGATCTCACAGGTCTGCGATGATTTCTCAAAGGAATCATCCAACTCTGGTATGGTCGAGAGGTCATCGTTGTCATTCAGTTCCACTTCAACGCTGGACAGCGAACTCAGTGAGTTGCGCACCCCACTGTTGGCCGGCATATCCCCTCCACCTCCTCCTCCTGCTCTCTTCATCTCGTCCGTTATTTCGCCCACATTTGCCTCGAATTGTGACACATCGAATTTGATAACCACTAAAAGAGAATCAATAAAAAAGAAAGGAGAAGAGAGAAAAACGAAGAAACAAGGTGCGAGAAGGTAGCAAACAACGAATAACAAAAACATATAAAAATGAAGAAGAAGAAGAAGAAGAAGAAAACTTTGCGATCCCTGAGCCAAGATTCCAGAGATCGACTAACTGACTGGCTGATGTGAGTGTGGTGTCTCCTCAACACACACCACCACACCGCCACACAACTCTAACGCAACTTAAACAACAAACAAAAACATAAACCATTGTGAAAGATGTTAAAACAAACATGTACACATGTGTGTATGTGTGTATGTATCATGCTTGGACGCCAACATGATTTAACACCCCAAAAAATAGTCTAGTCGTCGTCGTTTCCCCTGGTTTGTAACTCACATTTTTCCAACGGTCCCAATTTCTTGGCCAAACCGAACATCATTTCCGGTGTCCAGAATTCGGGTATTCTGGCGAAAACCGAACCAGCATCGGCCGGCAATTGAAAGCCCAACTTGTGCAGCAGCAGTACAAAGGGTTGATACATCATTGTGTTGGCCTGTTCGGTGTTCCACTGGACAACGGGTATGGATTTGTTTTTAACTGGAAAGAGACAAAAAAGAGAAAAAAAAAAATTGGGAATTGAAAAGAGGTGCAGGAATTGTATGTTTAAAACATGTTTTGAGGGTCCTCTCGCACATTTTTCTATAAACAGGTGTCGTATTGAGGATCTGGTTTTGCTGGGAGACCTTTTAAGGGCCTTCTATGGCCTGATGGTCTTTAAGGCTATACTAGTAGAACTTGTAAAGGTTTTCCTTAACCAGGAAACCTTTAAGGGGGCTTAAGGAACTTCGATGGCAAGAGTATTTGGTTTGAAAAATATGTATAGCTCAAAGACCCTTTTGCTAGAAGATAGGTCATGACATTTTATAACCGAAGCCCCTTATTGAGGAGTCGGAAGAAGATTCTTCCAAAATCTTATATTTAGAGTCAGGGGACTTTTTAAGGGGCTTCAATAGCCAAGGATTTGGTTTGAAGAGTATGTATGGTCTTTAACCCTTTCCTCCTCTTTTGTCAAAATATAGTTCATAAGGAGGAGTCCTTCGAAGGGCCTTCAAAAGACGGAATCGCAGAATCTTATGTTTAGAGTCATAGGATATTTTAAGGGGCTTCAATGGTATCTATGACCTTTAACGCTTTAAGGTCCCTCTTGCCAGAATATAGTTCATGACATTTTTTTGCCGAATTGTATACACAGAAGTCATTCTATGAGTCTTCTAAAGACGGAAGATTCTCCCAAAATGTTTAATGTGGACAGAAGACCTATAAAAGATGCCAAAAACCCAAATATCTCAAGGGGGTTTTCTTGGAAAAAATTAAGGAGCTTCGATGACCAGAGGAACAGGTTTGAAGAGTATCTATAGCTTAAAGACCCTTAAAGGGGCCTCTTTTGCTTGAAGATAGTTCATGGCATTTTATAACTGAATCCCCTTATAGAGGAGTCTTTCTAAGGGTTTTCAAAAGACGGAAGATTCTTCCAGAATCTTATATTTAGAGTCAGGGAACTTTTTAAGGGGGCTTCAATGGCCAGAGATTCCGGTGTGAAGAGTATCTATAGCTTTAAGAGCCCTATTTTGTCAGAATATAGATGGAATATAGAATATAGTTCAGGGTCGAATTTTATACATAGAAGTCATTCTATGAGCCTTCTAAAGACAGACGATTCTCCCAGAATGATATATGGTCAGAAGACCTATAAAAGATTTCAAAACAAAAATATCTCAAGGGGGTTTCCTTGGAGAAAATATCTTTTAAAGGTCTTCTTTAGCCAGAAGTCTTTTTAAGGGCCAGAATACCTTAAAAAGCTGTTAGACGATCAGAAGACCGTTGAAAGGTTTTCTTTAGCCAGAGACACTTTTACGGCTCTTTCTTTTTCCATTAGATCTCGCAATGGTCTTCTATGGACAGAAGAAATTTTTTTTATTGTCCAGTAGACCTTTTTAGCTGTTCTAGGGACAAAATATAACTTTTACGCCTTCTATGGTCAGAAGTCCCATTGGGTACATTCGTCCCTTTCTGTGTTTTATATAGCCTTTGGAGGGTCTCCTATACCTTTTGGAATAGCTTTCAATCATCGTCCATGTCCAAAAGACCTCTTAATCGTATTCTATGACATGAAAAGCTTCTCAAGGTTTTTTATGGCCAGAAATACCATTGGAGGGTCCCTTATCATCAGATGACTTTTTAAGGGTGGTTTTGAGTGGTTCTGTGGACCATAGAAGTCAAGGTTCTATGGTTTGAAGCCCTATTGGTTTCTTTCTGAGTCTTGTATAGTCTTTTAAGGGACTCCTTTGATCGGAATACCTTTAAATCATCTTTCTTGTCCAGCAGACCTCTTCAGGGTAATCTATGAAAAAAAAAACTTTTAAGGATATTTTATGGCCAGAAAGAACATTTGAATGTCTTTTATCAACAGATAACTTTTCAAGGGTCTTCTATGGCCAGACGACCTATGAGGGGTACTCCAATGACCTGAATTCCATTCCAAAAGCTTTTAAAGGGTATTTTATCAAAAAAGTTTTTAAAGCCTGACTTTGTTAGGGCATTCTACAAATGCAAAACATTTTCATGGCCTTTTTTATAGACAAGAACTTCCTCAGAGAGAAGTTATTTTCTTCCATGGTTGGAAGAACTTTCAACGGTCTTCTATAGAGAACAGATCTTTTCGAGTTTCTCTAAAGAGAGAATTTTTTATACCCTCCACCATAGAATGAAATATGCATTTTAGACCCCACAAAATATATATATTCTTGATCAGCATAAAATTCTATGACGATTTTGGGATATCCGTCTGTGGAAATCATTCTAGCTTCCGAACTAAATGAAGTAGGTTGATAAAATTTTACTCAAATGGGTATTAGGTCTGCAGGACTTTTGGTATTGAAAATGGGCAAAGTAGGTCCACGTTTTGGTATAGCCCTCATATAGCGGTACCTTACGATATTCGGTACTTTGATGATTTTAGCGACATTATCCACAGATTTTTTTTCAAGTTTCGCATTTGAATATTTTAATGGCTTATGACAAAAGTTACCAATGTATATCCACGTCGTCGTATAGACCCTAATATAACGGCTACATTCGGTATTTTTAAGATTTTAAGATAACAGATTTTTATAGGATTTTATTTTTTTGAAGATTGCCAAATTTATTCTAAATGGTAGAGATCGGCCCGGCCGAACTTAGGGCTTTTTCACTTGTTAATTGTTGAAAATTATTGTCGAGAAAACATTTTCGGGGTATGCTATAGAGCACGACCCTTTCAAGATTCTCTATAGAGAGAACATTTTTTCCATTTTTTTACACCGAATATATTTGGAAGCCTTCTATGGACCTTTTGAGGTCTTCAATAGGGAGTTTTTCTACAGAGAAAAATAGTTCTTCTAGAAAGGGATGAACTTTTGAAAATACCTTCACTCTCTCTCGATGTAGATTATTCGAAATTTTTTATAGTAAGACGACATTTCCGATTTTTTTTATATTGGAAAAGATCTTCTACAGAGAGAAATCTTTTTCTATAAAGAGAAGACCTCTTCACATTGTCTATAGAAAAAACAGCTTTTCGAGATCTTTAATAGAGAGAATAATAATAATAAGTGGGGATACCTTCTCTAGTTCTTCTAACGAGGTAGACAATTACGAGATCTTCTACAGACAAAATAAGTTTTACTAGACAAAAGACCTCTTCGCACTTTTCTATAGATAGAAGTTATCTTGGAGATACTCTACCCGACGACATTTCCGACTATTTCTAAATTGAACAATTTATTTTCTACAGAGGGTAGATTTTTTCAGATTTTCAATAGAAATCTTTTATAGGAATAACACTTCTCGAGTTTTTCTATGAAGAGAGGACCTCTCCACATTCTTCTATAGAAAAAGCTTCTAGAGGTCTTCTATAGAAAAATCTTTCCAAAGTTTTCTGTGGAAGGCAAGACTTTTTTACAAAGAAAATACCTTTTCGAGGCATTTTATAGACGGACGTCCTATTTTGGTCTAAAAAAAAATCCATATATTTTAAGTCAATTTTGAACTTACATATTGAATGATAGGCTACTGGTTCCATTATCACTGACAAATTTTGATGATCCTCTCTTAGGGGATTTTTCCTGAGAATCAATTTGACATAACAACATTCCAATAGGAGTTTCTGCAACCACTCCAAATGTTGTTTCTTTTTCTCCTTGATTATTAAATCGCGAAGAATCTGAAAGAAAACGAATAAAAATAAACTGGTGAAAAAAATTGAAGGAGGTACCAGAAAATTAAAATTTACCTGAATATCATCGGAAGGTTTGCCAGCAATGGCTGTATCTTTCATTTCTATGCCAGATTCTGTGGTACCTGAAGTAGGCGTGGTTAACAAAGTGCGCTGATATTGGGCATCTTCGTATTTCATTAAGTCATCATATTCCACCAAGGTTATGATGTCCTGCAAAAGGGACACAAACAATTATGTAGCATAAGTTATGAATGATAATTTATTTTCCAAACAATTTTAATGGGAATATTTTGTAGGACCTAAAACTGCATCGGAATTTGGAGTCCAAAATTATTTGAGGAATATTGGCGACCCCCACTAAAATGTTACTATAAAAATCTGTTAACCCTAAATTCTCAATAATTTTTGAATCTATATAAAACTTTGGTCCTACGAAACATTACCATTAAATTTAATTTCGTCCTTTGTTTGATTTTCTTACCTGTTGCAACAGCTGTTGTATTATCGATATCCTCGATTTCTGCTTGTTGCCATTGTTACCAAACAATTTAACAATTTTTCCCACCACATCATTATTTTTCTTGCTCTGGACATAATACCAATACAAGGTGTCCATTTCCTCCTGGGTCCAAGTGCTATTTAGCGTATTTTTATTCACACAAAAAGATGAATATTTATTTAAATGGAAGAGAAGAGGGTATATTAATTGTTGCATGTTTTTGAGTAGAGTTTTGATTAAAATTTCATTCGGTTTCAGGTAGACAAAATTGACAAACAAAAAATGAAGCTTAAAAACAGTTTTGAAACATATTAGCAAAATTTACAAAATATATCTTACAAAGTTTATTTACACAGTTTAGATGTATTGTTCAAGATCGGCAATGGCCGAATCGTTAGTACCCTTCACCACAAGTTAGTGTATTATATTACACAATTCTTAAAAAAATTCAAACCTATCAAACGCATATTCCTTAGGCAACACTTTACAACAATTTATTTCTTATAATTTAAACAAATCATTTAGAAAAAGTTCCACAGATATAAGATTTTCTAATAAGCTTTTTGAAGCCGTATATGCACAGAACGTACCTAGAAGACATCCCACAGATAGGAGGTGTTGAAGAAGCCTACTTTAGACAGTAGTAATATTTCAATGGTTTTAAAAATATAGAACGCAAGTTTCGCAATTTTAAAATTTTTCAAAATGTTGACCCTTTATGGGGGATGTACCAAAGGAGTGGAGTTTTTTGAAAAATGTTTAGCTTTCATGGGGGAAGTACTAGAAACAGTGGAATTGATTCTGACTGACAAAAATAGTAGGATGCGCACAGTTTTATGAAAATCGAACATTTTTTTCCAAATTTTATGCGAATAATTGTAAATCAAAACTTGAAACTTTTGTGGGGGAGGACCAACATATTCCATATTTACATTAGACACATGGTTGAAAGAAATGTGGAGATACACAATGCTTGAAGAATATCGCCGATTTTTTTAAAATGTTTACCCTTTTTGGGGAGTTACTAGATGGAGTGTGTTATTATTCTCTATTTTCACATGCAAAGTTCCTTGTTTATTGTGGAGGAGGTACAAGATGGATAAGACCGATATTGCCCATATCCGAACTAGATTTTAGCTTGATAATATTACGATGTACCAAGAGTTATCGTGAGCACCAGCCAGCAAGGCATGCAGACGGACGGACGAAAACCACTAGATCGATTCCGAATGTTCTGAAACGAATTTCGTCCCAAGGGAAATAGGGTATTGTATACCCTCTGTAGACATATGTTTGTAGTCTAAGTTTTTGACAATCTCATGGTAGAGTATCCAAATTGGTGTAATAAAATACAAGGTGTTTTAATGAGTTTTTTCATATAAATCGCTCATTTTCTAAGCTGCTCTGACAGTTTAAAGCGATTTAAAGTATTATTTAGCAAATTATCATGAATAGGTTAACTCCAGAACAAGGCTTGCAAATAGTGGATTTTTTTTTCAAAAACAGTGTTCAATTAATTATCGTGAATTTAATGTGCACATTTACAGGTGCGTCGAAGGTATATAAAAATCTGAATTTATCTTGATAACATTTGGCTGAGGTAGTTTCGAGCTGTGTCTGATGTCCGGTATCAAATATCCTTGTTGTGGAGGGACTTTAGCAACAAAGCGGATGAAACATATGTATGGGAGCTTTATCTGTATCTGAACAGATTTTCACCAAATATTATTTCTAAACTGAATTCCGTCGGAAGTGCCAAAATTCAGTCCATTTGGGCTGATATTGGCCATTTGGTGCACAATAAACATTAAATCAGATAAATATATAAATGGGAGCTATATCTAAATCAGATTCGATCTTGACAAAATTTTAGGCACATATTTCTAAACGTTATCTGATATCTGGTACCAAAGATCATTGTTGTGGAGTGCATATTGTGCATGTGAGAGACTTAAAACTCAAAATCGGATTTTTAGCTCTTCTTTCATAATCTACTGGATTATTGCTTTTACACCCTCCACCATACATAGTATGGAGGGTATATAAGGTTCGTCATTCCCTTTGTAACTTATCGAAATAATCATTTTAGGCCCAAAAAAATATATACATTCTTGGTCGGCGTAAAATTCTAAGACGATTTAGCCCTGTCCATGCGTCCGTCTGTTGTAATCATGCTACAGTCAAAAGGAATTAAGATAGGAAGCTAAAATTTTGCACAGATCTGTCTTTTGTCTGCAAGTTCAAAGATGCTCTATCTCGGTCCACGACATCGTATAGCCCCCATATAACGCCCCCCCCCCCCCCCCAATTATCGGTATTTTGATGATTTTAGCATCATTTTTCAATGGAATTGTCTGAAATTGTACACAAGGAGTTCTTTATGAGTACTTTGCCCACTGGCAGAGATATAAGAGCAGATTTTTAAGACTTTAATAGGATTTTTTAATGGATTTTTGTTTTTGAAAATTTTTTAATTCGTCCTAAACGGTGGAGGGTACTTTTTTACTTGTTCTTTTTTTTTTGCAAAGTATAGTTGAAGAATGCGTAGGATTCAATCCGTAATCTTTGTGTGTAAAGTTTTTGTAACATGCAGAATAAACTTATAGTTCTTTTTGATGATATCCATAAAATCACATTCAGTGTAAGTATTGCAAAAGTCACAATTATTGTCCGAATGAAATTAACATTTTAATAAATCATTTCTTTGTCCCAATGAAGTACCCTATTGCAATTGGTGATAATCGGTCCAAATTTAGATATAGCTACCATATATATCTTCGTCCGATTTCAATTTTATTGGGCGCCATATGTGTGATATTAGCCCAAATAGGATTGATTTTGGCACATTCGACCAATTTCAGTCTAGAATCACGTATGTCAAATTTGGTGAACAAATCCTCAGCTATAGCCCCCAAAGCTTTTTTATATGGCCAGCCCCGCTCTACTTTTGACTTTCCTTCCTTTGCTGGTTTCCTATAGAAAAATTCTCCTCAGCCGCTGTCTACGATCGAAATTATTTCCTAATTATAGGAAATTTCCAAAACTCCTATGTCGGTTCGGTATTATTCTATATGTGGTGAAGGGTATTCGTGAATTAAGAAACAAATCACTTTTCTTTCATTCATAAAGTACGAGTGATTTCCTCCTTGAATTACAAAAAAGTAAACGCTCTAAAAACAACTTCCTTCCAAACGCAATGAGATTGCCTAAATTTCTAGAATATACGCGAGTTCCCATAACTAGCAGAATCGTTTTTTTACTCTCTGTCTCCAAACGGCTGCACAGCTGAAGCACTCTAATACCACTCTCCCTCTGAATCCCACGATCCGTCCATTTTGTACTTGACCGCTACTCTGGTACATATCCTTCGGGAATGACGCACACAACACCCACACACAATCACTGACTGACTGAAAAGCATGCATGCATCATCATGATCATCGGTCACCTAGCTCTAGCGATCATCACCATCACTACTCTAAGACTGACTGAACTGAATCGAAAGCAAAAGAAACTCTGTAAAATCAATTTGCTGTTGAAAAACAAAAGGTTTTAAAAATTAGTTTTGTGATTTTATGGTCAAGGATCTGAAAAGAACAAAGGGGGAGTCCAAAGAACATAAAAAATTGAAAATTTCCAAAATTGTTCTCTACAAATCCATGCATCATTTCAATTTCATTTTCCAAATACTCTAGAGAGAATAACAAAAAAGATAATGCGGAAATTAAAGACCTTGAAAGAGGTAACAACTCCACGTAGAGTTACGAAATAAATATTCTAAAAATATTGAAGCTTCTAATCAATTAAAAAAAAATATTTAAAATAAATTATTTGTTTATGCCAACAATGAGATATATGTATACATATATGATATGAGTTATATATATTAATTTGTTATTAACAAATATATGTTACATTTTATGGGTGGTATATGCCATCTCTTTTCGGCTAACAAGGGTTCTTACCTCACAGCTGTCTCCATGTTGTGTTCCTTGGTCAGCTCAGTCAGGGATGCCGATGAGGCGGCCAATGGGCTCTTCTGTGGTGTGTTTATGAATTTGTGTATTACATATTCAATTAAATCCGACCAATCCTGATATGGAAACAATTATTATTTTAACAAAGTTTTAGGGGTATGAGATGACAACTTACATCACACAGCTCATAATCTGCCTCCCAAATACGTGAGAAGGTCTTCAAAATCACCGGCAGAAATAGAGCGGTACTTTGTCCCAAATCACCACCAATGTGATGCATCATGGTGAATATACAATCGTTGACAAATTCACCATTGCTATTGAAATCGTCCAGCAGCATGCCATAGAAGTGCATTATTTCCATGGTGGCAAATCTGAAATGGGAAGGGAAATTCGTTAAAGGATATCTTTGTAAAGAAGTTTAAATCAACAGTCGTAGATTTTTAATTCTTGAAGCACCAGCGGAGCTACATTCACATATATTTTTAAGAATGTTGTTTCAAGGGCCATCAAAGGTTTAATGGGAGATTTTTACTGACCATATTTTAAGGACCCTCAGAGATTAAAGAAAAGTTTTTTTAAGGATCGTCTGTACAATAATCTTAGATTTTTAAAAGAATAATTGTTCAAGGATTATAAGGATCCAGTCGTAGATTTTAAAAGAACATTTTTTCAACGTTCAGTCGTGGTTTTTGGAAGTTCCAGTAGTGAATTTTTAAAGAACATTTTTTCAAGGTCTTGTTTTGGATTTTTTGAAGTCCAGTCGTGTTTTTTTAAAGAATAATTTTATCAAGGTCTACTCGTAGATTTTTTGAAGGTCCAATCGTGGATTTTTTGAAGGTCCAGTCGTGAATTTTTAAAGAATAATTTTATGAAGGTCCAGTCGTAGATTTTTTGAAGGTCCAATCGTGGATTTTTTGAAGGTCCAGTCGTGGATTTTTAAAGAATAATTTTTTCAAGGTCCAGTCGTAGATTTTTGAAGGTCCAATCGTGGATTCTTTGAAGGTCCAGTCGTGGATTTTTAAAGAATAATTTTTTCAAGCTCCAGTCGTGAACTATTAAAAATATTTTTTCAAGCTCCAGTTGTGAACTATTAAAGAATATTTTTTCAAAGTCCAGTCGTGGATTTTTAAAGACCATTTTTTAAGGCCCTGTCGTGGATTTTTAAAGAATATTTTTTCTAGGCCCAGTAGTGGATTTTTGAAGAATATTTTTTCAAGACCCTGTCGTGTACATTTTAATAGCATTTTTTCAAGGCCCAGTCGTGGAGTTTTAAACAATATTTTCTCAAGGTCCAGTCGTGGATTTTTAAAGAATATTTTCTCAAGGTCCAGTCGTGGATTTTTAAAGAATATTTTCTCAAGGTCCAGTCGTGGATTTTTAAAGAATATTTTCTCAAGGTCCAGTCGTGGATTTTTAAAGAATATTTTCTCAAGGTCCAGTCGTGGATTTTTAAAGAATATTTTCTCAAGGTCCAGTCGTGGATTTTTAAAGAATATTTTCTCAAAGTCCAGTCGTGGATTTTTAAAGAATATTTTCTCAAGGTCCAGTCGTGGATTTTTAAAGAATATTTTCTCAAGGTCCAGTCGTGGATTTTTAAAGAATATTTTCTCAAGGTCCAGTCGTGGATTTTTAAAGAATATTTTCTCAAGGTCCAGTCGTGGATTTTTAAAGAATATTTTCTCAAGGTCCAGTCGTGGATTTTTAAAGAATATTTTCTCAAGGTCCAGTCGTGGATTTTTAAAGAATATTTTCTCAAGGTCCAGTCGTGGATTTTTAAAGAATATTTTCTCAAGGTCCAGTCGTGGATTTTTAAAGAATATTTTCTCAAGGTCCAGTCGTGGATTTTTAAAGAATATTTTCTCAAGGTCCAGTCGTGGATTTTTAAAGAATATTTTCTCAAGGTCCAGTCGTGGATTTTTAAAGAATATTTTCTCAAGGTCCAGTCGTGGATTTTTAAAGAATATTTTCTCAAGGTCCAGTCGTGGATTTTTAAAGAATATTTTCTCAAGGCCCAGTCGTGGATTTTTAAAGAATATTTTCTCAAGGTCCAGTCGTGGATTTTTAAAGAATATTTTCTCAAGGTCCAGTCGTGGATTTTTAAAGAATATTTTCTCAAGGTCCAGTCGTGGATTTTTAAAGAATAGTTTTTTTCAAATCTTTGGCTATACCAAATTAAGTACCAAATATAGTAACATTTAGTACCTTTCGTACAATTGTGGAACACATTTTTAAAACCACCTCCATATCTCAATTCCAGAAACCCAAAGATACCTAAATATCAAATATCAAATATCGAGATTCCAGCTTTATTCATCCACCCAATACCTAATTTAGTACCACTTAGCACTTTTTGAACAATTATGGTACACATTTCCCAAAACACCTCCATATATCCAGGGTACACATAAACAGCAAGCCTAATACCAAATTTCAGATTTTAAAGCCATCATTTTGGATTTTTAAAGAATATTTTTCAATGGACTTTTAACAGATATTTTTCACCCAATACCAATTTGTACCAAATATAGTACTATTTAGAACTTTTCGTACAATTATAGTACACATTTCCAAAACCACCTCTTTACCACAACATACCAATACCATTAACAGACCTCAATATCAAATTTTTGGATTCTTACTCTATCCCTTTACCCAATATCTATTTTAGTACCACTTAGTACTTTTTGTACAATTATAGTACACATTTTCGGAACCACCTCCATATATCAATTCCACATACCAACAGAGACTTCAATATCAAATTCGAGGATTTCAGCTATGTCCCTTCATCCAATTCCAAATTTAGTACCATTCAGTACTTTTTGTACATGTATACGAGGCATATCCGAAACCACAACCATATGTCCAGGCTACACATGAACAGACCTTCTCACAAACCTGCCACTAACCCAATACAAAATAACAAAATTCCAGCTTCATCTGTTAACCCTAAACCAAACTGTTTCAAATTTAGTACCATTTAGTACAGTTCGCACACTTAGTACATATTTCCAAAACCACCTTCATTATACAAATCCATACAAAGAGAGACAATACAATATCAAATTTGAGGATTACAACCCTATCCCTTCACCCAGTACTAAATTTAGTACCATTTAGTACTTTTGGTACAATTATAATACACACTTTCAAAGCCAATCCATATGTCAAGGCTATAGAAAATTTCAAACTGCAAGCCTCATCTGCTCACCCAATACTAAATTGTACCAAATTGAGTAATATTTAGTACAGTTTGCACACTTAGTACCCATTTCCAAAACCACCTTTACTTTCCAACCTTGATTCTTATACCAAATTTGAAGTTTTTAACTTTGTCCGTTCAAATAATAATACCAAATGGTACAATTTTTGAGATTTAGTACCATTTTAGGACATTTCCTAAATTTAAAGTTTGAATTTCCACTAACAGTTTGGTGCATCTATCCAGCACTCCATTAGTGACTCTCATCCAAAATTTTCAGGATACCAGCTCTACTGGTTCATCCAAATCAAAATTGTATTAAATTTAGTACCACTTAGTACCGCTAAGTACAAATTTCCATAACTACATTTTTCAGTCCAATAGAAGTCTTATTTTCAAATTTCAGGATGCCAACCCTACTGGTTTACCAAAAATCTCAATTGTACCAAATTTAGTACCATTATATACACATAAGTACGAAATTCCAAAACCGCCTACATTCCTCAGTCCTACAATGCAATAGTAATCTTATTTCTAAATTTCAACATTCTAGCTCTATCGGTTCACCCAAATCTAAATTGTACCAAATTTTGTACCATTTGGTACTTTTCGTATACATAAGTACACACTTAGAAGACTACCTCTTTACATCGACTCTTCTCTTTAACCCTAATCCCCATTCCATATTTCAAGTTTTTTTCTCTAACCGTTCACATGATACGAAATGATACCAAAAATAGTACATTTTAGTACTTTTCGTACACTTATATTGCGAATTTCCAAAAACACTTTAGTACATCTATCAAACACTCCATCAGAAACCCGCTGTCTAAATCTAAGCGTTTAAGCTCTTCTGCTACCTCAAATGCATAGGGTACCATATTTAGTACCCTTTAATACTTTTCGTATCATTCTAGTACGATTATCCAAAAACCCAGCCTTATCTGACCCCTTCGGATGAAGTGTGACCCTCACCCAAAATTTCAAGATTCCAACTGAAACCGTTTCGTCTAGATGTTGATGAATCGTTAAGTCAGTCAGTCAGTAGACCAGTCAGTCAATTACTTTACTCTCAGCCAAAACCGACTGATACTCTTTAACTTGTTAAAAAAATATTTTTCAAGGACCATCAGAGCTACAACTTGGATTTTTCACGAATATAATTTTTTTCTCAAAACTTACTGTGAAACGTGGTCGATCATCTTAATATGGACATTATCTTCCGACTTTGTAACACTATCCAGTATCAAGAGCAACATATGATTGGTTACCACCAAATCTTGCAGATACTGCTTCGGATGTAGACTGGGATTGAAGCGACGCAACAGCAACACAAATAGATTTCTTAAATCTTCGGAACTACTGATTTGCAACTGCAGCAAACGCAATCGCTCACGATCTTCTTCACTCAAATGGGTGACTTTCTTATAGGTTTCAATGGCCTGTAGGAATTCTCGTATTGCCGTGACGACCAAATGCATGCGACGCAAATAAGGATTCGGATCACTACCCTCTTGTCGCGAATTCAATTCAAGTTGTTCGCACAGCATCACTCCCTCATAGGTTAAATAGCTTATCACCTCGAAGGTCAGAATGTTGTTGACATGTTCCATATCCAGTTCCAGTTGGGCGGCGAACTTCAGGAAATAGGTCACCAACCAAAAGAAATGTGATGTATCGATGGGAATGTTCTGCAGGAAGGAAGGAAGGAAAGACAAATTCTTAATTAAGTGGATGATGTATTTTGTTTGTAGACTTACCAAATTTGTGAGGAGCTGTGAATGTAAATCCTCCACCAAATAACTATAGCCCTTGAGCAAAAAGTCCACAGTGAATTCTTTCAAGAGATTTGCGATATCCTCATCTGTGGGTATGTGCTGCACCAGGCCTTTCATGTTTATTCTGCGAGGAGGGAAAAAGGAGTGAAATAAAAAAAAAATATTTTTTACGAATATTTTTTTAAGATCCTTAGAGCTTTAAGCGAGAAATATTTAAAGAAACTATTTTTAGAGCTATAATTGAGGACTTTTCTAATACTGGTTCCGGGGCTATCAGAAGTATAATAGAGGTTTTAATGAATATTATTCGGAGACTATAAGAGAGAAACGTAAATTAAAAACAAAATAATAATAATATTTTTTAAGGACTCAAGTCGCGAATTTTTAAAAATATTGTTTTAAGCACTCCAATCGTGGATTTTTAAAAATATTTTTTTAAGGATTCCAAATATCTTTTAGGGACTCCAAGAATATTTTTTCAAGAACTCTTCGAACTCAATTTGTGGATTTTTAATAATATTTTTTTAAGGATTCCAATCGTGGATTTTTAAAAATATGTTTTAGGGACTCCCATCTAGGATTTTTGACAATATTTTTTAAGGACTCCAAAAATATTTTTCAAGAACTCTTTGAACTCTAATCATGGATTTTTAAAAATATTTTTTTAAGGACTACAAAAATATTTTTTCAAGGACTTTTTGAACTCTAATCATGGATTTTTAAAAATATTCTTTCAAGAACTTCAATCTTGGATTTTTAAAAATATGATTTAAGGACTTCAATCATGGAATTTAAAAAAAAAAATATTCTTTAAAGGATTACAATCGTCAATTTTTAAAAATATTTTTTTCAAGGACTTTAAGCGTAGATTTTTAAAAATATTTTCTTAAGGACTTCAAGTTGGATTTTTAAAAATATTTTTTCAAGGACTTCAAGCTTGGATTTTAAAAAATATTTTTTCAAAGACTTCAAGCTATTATTTTTAAAAATATTTTTTCAAGGACTTCAAGCTTAGATTTTTAAAAATATTTTTTCAAGGACTTCAAGCTTGAATTTTAAAAAATATTTTTTCAAAGACTTCAAGCTTGGATTTTTAAAAATATTTTGTCAAGCTATGATTTTTAAAAATATTTTTTCAAGGACTTCAAGCTTAGATTTTTAAAATTATGTTTTCAAGGACTTCAAGCTTGGATTTTAAAAAATATTTTTTCAAAGACTTCAAGCTTGGATTTTTAAAAATATTTTTTCAAGGACTTCAAGCTTGGATTTTAAAAAATATTTTTTCAAAGACTTCAAGCTTGGATTTTTAAAAATATTTTGTCAAGCTATGATTTTTAAAAATATTTTTTCAAGCTTGGATTTTAAAAAATATTTTTTCAAAGACATCAAGCTTGGATTTTTAAATATATTTATTCGAACTTTGATTTTTAAAAATATTTTTTCAAAGACTTCAAGCTTGGATTTTTAATAATATTTTTTCAAGGACTTCAAGCTTGGATTTTAAAAAATATTTTTTCAAAGACTTCAAGCTTGGATTTTTAAAAATATTTTGTCAAGCTATGATTTTTAAAAATATTTTTTCAAGGACTTCAAGCTTAGATTTTTAAAAATATTTTTTCAAGGACTTCAAGCTTGGATTTTAAAAAATATTTTTTCAAAGACTTCAAGCTTGGATTTTTAAAAATATTTTTTCAAGCTATGATTTTTAAAAATATTTTTTCAAGGACTTCAAGCTTAGATTTTTAAAAATATTTTTTCAAGGACTTCAAGCTTGGATTTTAAAAAATATTTTTTCAAAGACATCAAGCTTGGATTTTTAAATATATTTTTTCGAACTTTGATTTTTAAAAATATTTTTTCAAGGACTTCAAGCTTAGATTTTTAAAAATATTTTTTCAAAGACTTCAAGCTTGGATTTTTAAAAATATTTTTTCAAGGACTTCAAGCTTGGATTTTAAAAAATATTTTTTCAAAGACTTCAAGCTTGGATTTTTAAAAATATTTTGTCAAGCTATGATTTTTAAAAATATTTTTTCAAGGACTTCAAGCTTAGATTTTTAAAAATATTTTTTCAAGGACTTCAAGCTTGGATTTTAAAAAATATTTTTTCAAAGACTTCAAGCTTGGATTTTTAAAAATATTTTTTCAAGCTATGATTTTTAAAAATATTTTTTCAAGGACTTCAAGCTTAGATTTTTAAAAATATTTTTTCAAGGACTTCAAGCTTGGATTTTAAAAAATATTTTTTCAAAGACATCAAGCTTGGATTTTTAAATATATTTTTTCGAACTTTGATTTTTAACAATATTTTTTCAAGGAGTTCAAGCTTGAATTTTAAAATATATTTTTTCAAGGACTTCAAGCGTGGATTTTTAAAAATATTTTTTCAAGGAGTTCAAGCTTGAATTTTAAAATATATTTTTTTAAGGACTTCAAGCGTGGATTTTTAAAAATATTTTCACAACGGCTTAAGCGTGGATTTTAAAAAATATTTTCACAAGGACTTCAAGCGTGGATTTTTAAAAATATTTTTTTAAGGACTTCAAGCGTGGATTTTTAAAAATATTTTTTAAGGACTTCAAGCGTGGATTTTTAAAAAATATTTTTTTAAGGACTTCAAGCGTGGATTTTTAAAAATATTTTTTAAAGGACTTCAAGCGTGGATTTTTAAAAATATTTTTTAAGGACTCCAAGCGTGGATTTTTTGAAGATATTTTTTTAAGGACTTCAAGCGTGGATTTTTAAAAATATTTTTTAAAGGACTTCAAGCGTGGATTTTTAAAAATATTTTTTAAGGACTCCAAGCGTGGATTTTTTGAAGATATTTTTTAAGGACTTCAAGCGTGGATTTTTAAAAATATTTTCTCAAGGACTTCAACGTGGATTTTTAAAAATATTTTCTCAAGGACTTCAACGTGGATTTTTAAAAATATTTTCTCAAGGACTTCAACGTGGATTTTTAAAAATATTTTCTCAAGGACTTCAACGTGGATTTTTAAAAATATTTTCTCAAGGACTTCAACGTGGATTTTTAAAAATATTTTCTCAAGGACTTCAACGTGGATTTTTAAAAATATTTTCTCAAGGACTTCAACGTGGATTTTTAAAAATATTTTCTCAAGGACTTCAACGTGGATTTTTAAAAATATTTTCTCAAGGACTTCAACGTGGATTTTTAAAAATATTTTCTCAAGGACTTCAACGTGGATTTTTAAAAATATTTTCTCAAGGACTTCAACGTGGATTTTTAAAAATATTTTCTCAAGGACTTCAACGTGGATTTTTCAAAATATGTTTTTAACGACTTCAATCGTGAATTTTTAAAATATTTTTTAAGGACTCCCATCGTTGATATTTCAAAGTATTTTTTAAGGACTACAAAAATATTTTTTCAAGGACTCTTTGAACTCTAATCGTGGATTTTTAAAAATATTTTTTAAGGACTACGAAAATATTTTTTCAAGAACTTTGAACTCTAATCGTGAATTTTTAAAAATATTTTTTAAGGACTACGAAAATATTTTTTCAAGAACTTTGAACTCTAATCGTGAATTTTTAAAAATATTTTTTAAGGACTACAAAAATATTTTTCGAGGACACTGAACTCTAATCGGGGATTTTCAGAAATATTTTTCCAAGAACTCCAATCGTTGATTTTTTAAAAATTGGTATTTTTAATAATTGGTTTTTAAGGACTTCAATCGTAAATTTTTAAAAATTGATTTTTAAGGACTTAATCGTGGATTTTTAAAAATTGGTTTTAAGGACTTCAATCCTGGATTTTTGAAAATTGGTATTTAAGGACTTCAATCTAAATTTTATTAAGGACTTAATCGTGGATTTTTAAAAATTGGTTTTTAAGGACTTAATGGTGGATTTTTAAAAATTGGTTTTTAAGGACTTAATTGTGGATTTTTAAAAATTGGGTTTCAAGGACTTCATTCGTGGATTTTTGAAAATTGAGTTTCAAGGACTTCATTCGTGGATTTTTAAAAAAAATTTTATGGACTATAAAAATATTTTTTCAAGAACTCTGAACTCTAATCGTGGATTTTTAAAAATATTTCTTTAAGGACTACAAAAATATTTTTTCAAGAACTTTGAACTCTAATCGTGAATTTTTAAAAGTATTTTTTAAGGACTACGAAAATATTTTTTCAAGAACTTTGAACTCTAATCGGGGATTTTCAGAAATATTTTTCCAAGAACTCCAATCGTTGATTTTTTAAAAATTGGTATTTAAGGACTTTAATCGTAAATTTTTAAAAATTGATTTTTATGGACTTAATCGTGGATTTTTAAAAATTGGTTTTAAGGACTTCAATCCTGGATTTTTGAAAATTGGTATTTAAGGACTTCAATCTAAATTTTATTAAGGACTTAATCGTGGATTTTTAAAAATTGGGTTTCAAGGACTTCATTCGTAGATTTTTGAAATTGAGTTTCAAGGACTTCATTCGTGGATTTTTAAAAAAATTTTTTATGGACTATAAAAATATTTTTTCAAGAACTCTGAACTATAATCGTGGATTTTTAAAAATATTTTTTTAAGGACTACAAAAATATTTTTTCAAGAACTTTGAACTCTAATAGCGGATTTTTAAAAATATTTTTTTAAGGACTACAAAAATATTTTTCAAGGACTCTGAACTCAAATCGTATATTTTTAAAAATATTTTTTTAAAGACTACAAAAATAATTTTTCAAGGACTCTGAACTCTAATCGGGGATTTTTAAAAATATTTTTCTAAGGACTCCAATCGTTGATTTTTCAAAGTATTTTTTGAGGACTACAAAAATATTTTTTCAAGGACTCTTTGAACTCTAATTATAGATTTTTAAAAATATCATTTTAGGGACTACATCGGGGAATTTAAAAAAATATTTTTTAAGGAATTCAAGCGTAGTGCTTGAAATGTGAAAGTTGGTATTAAGGGTGCAGTTCATGTATCGCCTGGACCTATGGAGGTGGTTTCGGAAATGTGTACTAAATTTGTACAAAAAGAACAAATTGGTACTAAATTTAGTATTGGGTGGAGGGATGGAGATGTCATTCTGAAATTTAATAGATAAATTATTGGTGGTATCTATGTTTGAGATTCCGCGGTGGTTTGGAAGTGGGTCCTATATTTGTACGAAAAGTACTAAGTGGTGCTAAATTTGGTATTGGGTGAAGGACTAGGTCTGGAATTCTCAAATTTTATATTGAACTCTCTGTTGATATATGGAGGTGGTTTCTGAAATATTTCCTATAATTGTACAAAGAGTACTAAATGATACTTAATTTGGCAATCGGGGAAATTACAGAGTTAAAATCCTGAAATTTGATTTAGATGTCACTGATAATGTCTGTGTCTAAGATATGGAGGAGGTTTGGAAATTTTACGAGAGGTACTAAATAGTACTAAATTTGGTATTGAGTGAAAAAATAGAGCTAATATCCGGAAACTTGACATTAAGGCCTCTGTTGGGAATTGAGATATGGGGGTGTATCGGAAATGTGTACTATGATTATACGAAAAGTACTAAGTAGTACTTAATTTGGTATTGGGTGAGCGGATAGAACTTAAATTCTGAAATTTTACTATTAGTTTCTGGGGTTCACATATGGAGACGTTGAAATAGTTTTGGACAGAATAATTGGAGGTGGGTCCATTTTGGTTTCGATTAAAAGTTCAAACTGAACAAATTCTGCATTTCGAGTACTAAAATCTAACTCGCACTATTGGAACGAATCCAAAATTTTAAGGTAGACTTTTTGCTGACGAAATAGCGGGCACTTCCTAGTTCTAAAATATTCCTCTCTTTAGCTCTTCTATTTATTATTTTTTACTCACAAACTACTCTTGCTGCGTTTCACCAGCTTCTTGCGTCTTAACTCCTTCTTATCGATGGCCGTGAGAACATTTCGCTGGCCCTTGCGCGACTTTGAACTGCAGGGCGGCTTTTGATGTTGCGGTTTGCTCTGAGGACCATCGTCGTCATTACTAGAGGTTGATATGGACTCCTGATTTTCAACTTGAGTACCATAGCCGCAATCGGAGAGTTCGGACTGCGAGGAGGGGCACTGACGTTTCTGGGGACCACATTTACCCATGGTCAACTTGACATGGGCCGAATGTGGTGTCTTTTGTTGGCACTGCTTAGGGCATGGTTCCAAGAGCTCTGGGTCATTGGGTATCAAGGGGAGAGGAGCACCACACACCGCTGCCACTGTGGCTGGGATGGGTGGCTTAAGCGGTAGGGCTGGTGGGGCCATAAAATTGTCATTATCTGACTTTTTGGAAGTGCTTGAAACAGGTTCAGCTGGTTGTAGAAGTTGTTGTTGCTGTTGTTTGCTTGGTTTCACTGCCACCAGGATGGGTGGATTCTCGCAAGCATTTTCGTTTTTATTGGGTTCTATTTTAATTTTCGTTGGTGTTGTGGTGGCCTCTTCATTTGCCATTGCTTCCTTTTGGGACCAACTGCCATTGTTACTGGCCTCCTGGCTGGCCTTCAAACTGAGATCGTTGGCCAACTCCGTGGCATCGACATTGTCAGCCGGTACTCTTAGCATGGAGTTTTGATATTCCTGGCCCTTACGGCTTACCTCTTGTAATGTGGCCTCGGTTTCTTCGCGCAAGGCCTGACGACGATCCTCGGAGCTGACATTTTTCTTGGTGCCTCCACTGCCTGGAATGCAAAAAAAAAGAACCCCTTTAGAAGAAAAACAAATAAATAAAATATTTCGCCAACCTACCATTATCCGATGAATCGGAGGTGGGGTCCGATGTCAACATGGGACTCGAATCACAGCTACCCTGCTTCGGCGGTGAGGTGTTGCTCTCATTGTCCTCAGAACTTTCCGACAGCGAAGCCTCAAACCACATATTCAAAAGTTTCTGCAAGGTACTCACATGCTGATCCTTGTACATCAAGGCAATTAACTGGACCAGGGTGACACCCCATACGGCCCTCTGGGGACATGTCATGAGATAGAGCAGCAACTTATCTATGCTCTGGATAAATAAATTCCACAAAATGGTATTCTGCATGGAAACGGCATGAGTTCCACCCGACTGATTGTGCGAGGTGGAGGACATGATGTAGTTCCCCCTCGGCTCGGGTATGTGCAAAATGTTGCGCAACAGCAACAAACAATTATTGATTTGTTCACATTTCTTGGCCGATAACTTGGAATCGGATTCCAAAATCCTTGTCATATATTCCACCACACATTTGGTACTCTTCGGATCGGTAAAGGCCTCCTTGCTTGTGTGCAGCAAGTTATTCAACTCGAAAATCGTGTAGCGACCCACTTCGGTCCGATACATTACATCGACCGAGAAAAGACATTCTACCGGTGCAGTGAGGTTAACCAATATCCTTATGACCGAATCGAAAACCTCTTCATCCTTGGCATTTTCCAGCAACGGCAACAAATCCGATTTAACATTTTTACCAAAACCTACAGCACGACGAAATGTTCGCAGCGTCTGATCTTCATAGGTCAATTTAAAGTCAATTTCTTCCAATGTTTCTGGAAATGTCAGCATGATTAGTTGAGATGACTCGCGTGGTGGTTTTGCTACTATGCGAGCAATGGACTTACCTAGAACCTTATCACTTACGACATAGGTATCTCCCATCAGGGAGCCCAGCGAGGAGAAAGCACTATATAGCTGAGGCGTTTCTAATAGCCAGTCCATTACAACAAAATGTGATCGATGATTTACGTTTGTAGTTTAAGATCTTCGTCTGTGGCATTCATTTGGAATGGTTGTAACAATGTGACTGGGCCTTAAAATGCTGCAATGAAAATAGAGAGGGGAAAGGGGAAGAGGTTAGTGAGCACCTTACAAAAATTCATCATAAGCAATAAATGGAAACATCTTATTTCGAAATCGGAAATTTCTTCAAAGCTGTTTTGCACAGCATCTTTTCTGAGGTCTTCTGAGAGAATGCATTTTTCTGATGTTCTCTGAATAATAATTGAGAAACGTGACGAACTTAAAAAAAAAAAAAAATTATAAAATTTATTTAAAATGTGTCCAAGTTTGGACTCTATGCTCTCAAGGCATCAAACTCTCCATTGCATAAAATGGTAGGCATATGTCCACTGAAATTTGAAGTTTTTGATTTGAGTACTTCAGGACAGCATTTAGAAACCTCCATAACTTTAAGTGAAAGTCTATTGGTGACTTTTATCAAAAATCAATTAAAGCTGTACCAAACACTGATTAGCCTAGAAAATGTTATAATTTTGCCTCCTCCTCCTGTGCTCTCTATACCAGTGGAATTCAATGTAATACCATGCGACATATAACCGCTTTCAAAATTCAAGCTACACCCATTGAACCCCCATATCTAGACCCACACACTCACAGTGATCATCATACCGAATTTCATTGTTCCATCTCTTCCACTACCCTATATTAAAAGCTCGTAATTGGATGGATTATGATCGCCCACAATGACTCTTATACCAAAACTCATAATTGCAGTCCCATTCCTACACCGTAGCCCAAATTAAGTACTTTGCGCACCATAAAAGTACGACTTTCAAAAAACATCGAATTGGCTATATCCTACTTACTCACTCACAGTGGTCCACATACGAAAATTCGCAATTCCAACTCTATTCCCACACTCGTTACCAAATTTAGTACCATTTAGTACATTTCGTACACTATAAAGTACGTATTTCCAAAAACACCGCATTGTTTAAATCCTTTTCCTACAATCGTTACCAAATTAAGTACCAATTAGTACTTTTCGTACACAATGCAGTACGAATTTTAAAAACGCCGTATTTTTTAAATCCTTCACACTCACAGTGGTCCGCGTAATTCCATCTCTCTCCCTTATATCGTTACCAAATTTAGTACCATTTAGTACTTTTCGTATACTATGCAGTACGGATTTTCAAATTCGGTGTATTGTTAAAATCCTATATACTCACAATGATCCCAATACTAAAATTCACAATTTCAGCCCTTTTCCTACAATCGTTAATTAAGTACCATTTAGTACTTTTCGTACACTATAAAGTACGTATTTCAAAAAAACCGCAATGTTTAAATCCTACACACTCACAGTGATCCTAATTCCGAAATTCATAATTCCAGCTCTATTCCTACACTCTGTGTCAAATTTAGTACCATTTCGTACTCCATGAACTACGCAGTTCATAATCCATCTTCCTATTTAAAGGTAGCACATTCACAGTGATCCTAATACAAAAATTGATAACTCCAGATCATATCCCACATTCTGTGTCAAATCTAGAATCATTTTTATTTGGTACGATTGGTACACTCAGGTACGTTTTTCCAGAACCACCTCCTTATACCAGAAGTACTCCCCAACTTTGATTCCAATATAAAATTTCCAGGTTTTAGATCCATTAATTAAAATAAAGAATCATTTGGCAGCTTTTATTGCATTTTGTTCACCTCAAGTTCGAATTTTCGAAAACCCTTTGATACATCTATGCTACACTCTACCAGGGACCCCTCAATTTGAAATTCAAATTTCCAAAATATTTTTCCGCACACCTTCATGTTTATCACAGATTAAGCTACGACCTCTAGCATCTGCCAATGGTTCGATATTAACGGTACCATAAATATTACTTTGTTTTCACCTTTCGTACCCTTCTAGACAGAATTTTGAAAAACCCAAGGTTGACCATCACCCAAAATTAATAAAACCATTGCAAAATGGACCAACTTTCAGTTTTTCTCTCCAAACATTTTTCAACGTCTCCATATAAAAACACTGCCCTCAATATCAAATTTCACAAATTCAGCATTCCTTCATCCAATTCCCACTTTAGTAACATTTTCTTTTCAAACAATTATAGTTTAAATTTCCAAATTTCATTTATATTCCTTCGCCCGAATTTAGTTCCACTGCGTACTTTTTGAACAATCACAGTACGTATTTCCAATATCACCTCCATATCTTAACCACATACACCAACAGAGACATCTATATAAAATTTTCGGATTTCAGCTCTATAACTTCACCCAATATCAAATTTAGAACTGTTTTGTACTTTTCGTACAATTCATTCCAAAAACACCTCCATATCTCAATACCAGATACCAGCAAAGGCTTCAAAATCAAATTTGATGAATTTAGTACCATTTAGTACTTTTCCAGCAATTATAGAACACATTTCCAAAACCTCCCCCATATCTGAACTAAAGACACCATCAGTGATATCTAAATTAAATTTCAGAATCTCAGCTCCAGCTTCCTTCACCCAATAATAAATTCAGCAATATTTAGTACTCATATCCAAAACAATATACATCTATCGATTCTAGACACCAAAAGTTAACCAAATTAGGTACTATTCAGTACTTTTTGTACAAATATATTGCGCATTTCCAAAACCACCTCCATATCCAAATTCCAGATACCAAGAGAGACCTTAATATCAAATTTCACGATTTCAGACCTTAATTTTCCCCGCTTACCAAATTTAGTGTCACTTAGTACAAATATAGTTCGCATATCCCTAACCGGTTCCTTCACTCAACCACCGACAACGATTTGGGCGAAAATTTGTACATCGTAATATTATTATCAAACTTAGATCGAGTCCGGAAATAGGCAATATCGGCTCACTCCTTCTAGTACCAAACAGCGGGTCAAAATTTCGAATAATTATAACTCTTATAAATTGTGACTTAAAAGTCCGATTGTCTTCATATTACACACACCACAATATTTTTTATTAACCCATGATCTGGTGTGAATAGGGAATATATCGGACCACTCCTTCTGGTACCTCCCCCACAAAGGGTCAAAGTTTTGAAAAGACAAAACGATCATAAAACGATCGAAATATGCATCCGGTTCTCTTCATATTTCACACATCTCATTATTTCTAATAATACAAGATCGCTTAAATATAGCGAAATAAGCATCCAACTCTCTTCAAGCATCCAACACATACAAACATGTTTGCTAACTAATGATCTGTTGTAAATATGATATATATCTGCGAACCCCTTCTGCTATCTCACCCACAAAGGGGTCACAATTTTCAATACTTTTATCATAACTTGCGAACAAGTCAACAATTCTGCTTATACCAATATTCATACCCTACACCACAGAGTGGTAAGGGTATTATGTCTTTGTGTATTTGTTCGTAACATGGAGAGGAAACGAGATAGACCCATACTTACTTTTGAGGAACTTCATAGAATCATTTTCTGAGTCGATTTGTACATGTCAGTCCGTCTGTCCGCCCGTCCGTCCATGTATTCTTGTGAACAAAATGCAGGTCGAATTTATTATCCGATTGAGATGAAATTTTCCAAACAATATTTGTCTGGCCCAAGGACGAATCTTATTGAAATTGGTAATTGGATCAGATTTAGATATTGCTCTCATATATCAATAACTGATTTCGGGTTAATTGTGCACAAATATAAGTCCAAATGACCTGTATTTTGGTACATCCGACCAAATTCGTCCACAAGTCCTTAAAATCTTGGAAAAATCGGTTTAGATGTAGCTATAGTTCCCATATATATGTTTCATCCGATTTGGGGTTTTAAGTCCCCCACATGCGTAATATGCACTTTACGAGAATGTATTTTGGTACCGGACATCAGACATTGCTCGAAAATATTTCTGTGAAATTTTTTCAAGATCGGTTCAGATTAGTATATAGCTCCCATATATACTGATTTCGAGTTAATTGTGCACCAAATAGACAACATCAGTCCAAATGACCTGAACTTTAGCATATCCGACCGAATTCAGTCTAAAAGCAAGTATATTAAATTTGGTTAAAATTGGTTCAGATATATCGATAGCTCCCATATGATGAAACATCCGATTTGGTGTTTAAGTCCCTCACATTCGTAATATACATTCGACAAAAATGATATTTGGTACCAGGTGTCAGATACGTCCCAGAAATCCCTCTGCTAAGTTGTCTCAAGATCGGTTAAGATTTGGATTTAGCTCCCATATTTATCTTCAACCGATTTCGGGTTAATTGTGCACCAAATGGTCAAAATCATTCCAAAATCCTGAATTTCGGTACATCCGACCGAATGCACAAAATGGCCAATAACAGCCAAAATGTAGTGAATTTCCGGACGTACGTTTCCATTTTGTGGAACTCGGCTCTGATATATATTTTTTAATATAATCCTTCTCATGCACTATATGGCAATGTTATTTGGTATAAAAGATTGAAATGTCTAAATGATGTAAAATATCCAAACTTAGTGAAAATCGATTCAGAATTCGATATGCCTCCCATACATTAGTTCCCTCTGAGACCAAACTATAACTGCTCTAAAACCAAATGTTGGTAGGTGGTATGATTTACTTCAAATAAATTATTTTGTTATTGGAGCTCTACTAGATATACATAGTGGTATATATATATAGGTATATATAGGTATATATATAGGTATAAGGTATAGTCAGCCCAGCCCCACTTTTGACTTTTCCTCACTGATTTCAATTAATTTCGTTGTTAATATATGAAAAAAAGATATAAATAAATTGTTAAAACAGTAAAATTTTGGCCTTTTCTATCATATTTTCTCGCCACTAGGAATACAAGCCGACTTACAGTAGATTCGGTTTAAATTATAATATGGGGACCATACAAAATCGGGTACCTATGTTTTCACTTTCAATTCTAAAGATTCTATAAATCTAAAATGCAATTAAAAATTTATAACTTTTATATAAAATGTTCACAGCTTCTTCGAAATGTATATATCTAATGATTTTTTCAAATAAGTTATCAGGATATTACCCCCAAG